ACAAAACAAAAAAAAGAACCTCATTCCACACAGAACAAAATAAAAGCCATCACCTAATAATGTCTCTGTATTCTGCTCGCCAGAGTCAAATTAGAATTATTGACCTACTAGTAAACTTTATTTTTTTTCCTTACTATTTCCCTATAGTTTGCTCACATCTCAGTTTCCCATAATACTAGACCTCATTCTATCACGGTGGGTTATTTTTTATTTTATTTTTACGTTTTAATTAAAATCTGTTTTATAGTTTTATAGCATAGCCATACAAATCATGACAATACACCTGTTCTTGTTCAATTTCAGTAAAATTATTATTGGGAAGATTCTTTTGTGTGGCCAAATTGATGCTTTTGTTTATTTCTTCCAGGTTTTGGAGTGCAGTTTTTTAAAAATCAGTATGCTATTTTCCTATTAGTTTAGCTTTTAAACTTTAGTTAAATTAGTATAATTGATTATGTTTGTCAGTCTGGTAACTAATTGTTCCATACTTTATAGTTTACTTTCTTCACACAACTTGGCATGAGAATATAAAATGTAATTCAGTTGGCTTTGGCACAAAATCCAATAATATTGGTGAGTGGTATGATTTGAGTTATACTAAGCAGAATTAAATCTGGAATTTGAATTTCACTGAACCTCAAAACTAAATCTACAACAAGAACACACCTTTCTTTGGTATAATTTTAGATTAAACATGCATAGGAAGTACCAAGGGGGAAAAAAGGGGACAAAAATGAAAATAGTACAGTGTAGACCTTGGCAAATAATTCACAATGAATATTTTATATAATAAAAACAATGCTAAGAGAGAAGTTACACTCAGCTTAGTTCTACGAAACACTCAGTAGTTGATTCAGGAAGCGATTAGAGTTGAGTCATTAAGTAATTGTGACCACAATATAATTAGGTTCAGCATCCTCATGGGAAGAATTGTACCCCAAATTATGGTGATAGTAAACTTTAGAAAGGGTAATTTAAAGCACAAACAAACCAGCAACAACAGCAAAAATCCCAAGTTGGTTAGAAGGATTTTGAAGGGAAGACACTATATTCAGAACTATTCTCAGCATGAATTGCTGTTAAGCATGCAATAATAGCATGGTAACAACATGTATGCTTTAAATGTAAAGAAAAAAGGAAGGCAAGGGAAAAAAATCAGTATTGTTAAATTGCAAGGGAAAAGTTATTTTAGTCCAATGTTATCTATTGAACAAACAGAAGAGAAAGAGATTATTAGCGTTAGTAAAGCCAATAAAAAGGAGCATACACTATAACAGGCAAACTTTAAGATGGAAATTAAGAGAAATGAATGTCTTTTTAGAGCCAACAGCAAAGGAATGAAAATGAATGAAAACATTCCTAGTATATGAGAAGTAGGAACCCTGTGAGAGAACTGGTGAATCTCTCGAGCCACAATTAGTAAGAATAAGCACACTGAAGAGAAGCTGAATGTTTTGTTTTGTTTTTTTTTCCGCATCAGTCTTTAATGGAGAGAGCATTAGGGAGATACCTGCTTGCAGACCAGCTTTTTTCAGGTAAATATTTGATGCTGGGTTTTGAAAATATGAGGTTCTGGGGAAAAAAAGGCAATAGTAAATAGAAACATGGTATTAAGACTCTCTACAGCTGCTTGCAAATGTTGAAAATAAAACAAAAAACAGTGATCTGTTCTAAACTCCACGCACCCCCATTCCAGGAGCCCAGGACATGTCCAGGAGAGGCATTGCATTAGTTGGACCCAGCTCGCCCAATGTCTGTATAGATCAGGTGCTTTAGTGGGGCCTTT